GTTCGTTATAACAACGTTGCCTTCAGTGGAGTATAACAAGTGCGAAATACGTCGTATTCTGCATGAGGGAGAGGCTGAATGGAATAGCTTGTTTGGGGTGACGTGATCAACTTAAGAGGCTCTCATATTTCTCCGTTAACTAAAATTTTAAACACAAAATTATGTACCTATCCCACTGGCACAAAACTAGCACTATTCCAATACAGTCTGTTGTTTTACACAGAACTCAAGGTTAATGGTTCTCTGATCCACTGGGAATTACCTGAGGATGCAATTCATTAACTAAAAAGCGTTTTTACATCCCTCAATAAATAATGTATACTTCTTAATGGAAACTGGAGTTCATATTACGTGTACCGGCCACAATTTACGAAAAGGAGCTGTTTTCATGAGAAGAGTCGCACCGGTGCGAGTTTCATAACGGGATGACTTTTTGATTTCGTGTCGCGTTTACATGATGACTGGGTCATTTCATATCTCGTCATTTCAAGGTACACTTCATGCTGATAAAATACACATGTGATTCAAAATCGCAAACATTACACATGCGCTACCCGTTCCAGTCCACCGGCAACCAGCAGACCGATTTGACCTCGAAACGGATGGTCGTTTCGCGTTCACATCATGCAGTCGTTGCCAAATTTCGTACCGGAGTGAAATTCTCGCCCCGGTACAACAACCGGGGTGAACTTACTTGGTCATCACTGTAAATTCGAATCATTCGAAAAATAGAAAACTTGTTTGATTCATTCGTTAATGGAATGGAACCCTGAGGTTCGGTTGATTTAAAAATTCGTATACGTCAGGGGCAACCAACGACTGTTTTCTATAAAAGATATGTTCGCAAACATTGCTTACAAATTTCTATAGCTTGCGAAAATCTAAACATGGTTGTCCTATTTGTCTTTCGTATTTCCATAGTTTCTACGATTTTCGGATCTTGGGCCGGTTTTTTATTTTAAAAAAAAAGCCCTAAAATTTTCGGCTTTAGATATATTGACAGAAACTGTGGGCTATTAGAATTTTCGAGTTCTCGCAAACCTTTTAATAGCAGATAGGATTTTCGGGTGAACAATGAGCACTGCCGTAATGAATTCGAAAGGGCTAATGGTGGGGGCGATCCCGCAGCTATTTGAAAGATTGTTTTTGATTAGCTGGGAAAACAATGGGGATTGTCACATAACAACGCCACTATCCCTGAAAACAATGGAAGTGCAGTGCAGATTAAAGGGGACCAGTGAAATAATGTATGTATGTATGTAAATTATTATTTAAACACGGGAAATCACCAGTGAAGCTTAAGTTAAAAACTACAACTAATTACGACTGCTTTACATGATTGCCGTGTGAGAATCCGATATATCAGCTACCTTCTTGATATTTGGCTTAAAATGCTCAACGGATGCAGCATTTTTTTAAGATTTTGGGCAAGTTATTCCATAAAATGGCCCCGCTGTAAGAGAAGCTTCGTTTCAAATAATTGGTGCTTGGTTTGGACAGGGTCAGCCTTCCCTCAGGGTTTCAGTGAGTTGTAAGCAGAGTGACGCTGAGAGAAAAGACTTTGCAGATATTCCGGAGCAAGGTCATTCAGAGTCGTTGAGAGGTTTAGAACGGTGCAGGTCTACTGGATGGTGAGCACGGATGACCGAACAGACACAAAATAAGCTAAAATGTAGAGCTTCTTGTAAAAATTACTCTAGTTAGCCGTAAAATGGCTTCTTAATTAAGCAATAAGCATACCAAATCAAATCAGTTCTGAGTTTACTCCGCTAAAAGACTAGAGTGCATTATTTATTGGAGAGAATTTTCGTATCCAATCCTCTCAATGGATAGAGGTCTGTTACAGAGAACTCAAGGTTAACGGATTTCTGATCCACATGAATTACCTGAGGATGCAAAACATTAGCTAAAAAGCTTTTTAAATCCCTCAATAAATAATGTATACTTCTTAATGGAAATTGGAGTTCATATTAAGTGTACCGTCCACAAATGGTTTTGTGATGACTCTATCTGATAATCAGATAATTACCTCAATATAGTTATGATACCACTGTCCACATAAAATATTTCATCAAACCCCGAGAGGCTATTGTTCACTTTGTATTGAAGCCAGAAAGAAGGGATATTCAAACACGCCTAAAAGGTTAGTAGTATCTTATTAATTAAACTGTTTGAAATTTCTCTGGAGCTTGAGAAAGGCTAAACATTATTGTCCTGTTTGTCTTGCGTTTTTCCATTACTTTTCTAAGATTTTCGGCCGGGATATTGGGGTTTTCATACTTTACTCTCCAGATTTTTACGTTACTCGTAAAAAGAAGCCTTAAAATTTTCGGCCTTGGGTATATCGACGGAAAGAGCTATAATATAGAAAATTCAGATTTCTCTTAAGGCTTTTAATGGCAGATAAGATTTTCGGAAAAATAATGAGCAAGCCCTAATGAATTTGAAAAGGCTAAAGGTGCCCTACAAGGGCGGATTTAGGAGTCGGCCGATGGGGACGCGGCCAACCCTTTTTTTTTTTTTCAAATTTTGTATTATTTTCATAGAATTCTCAGAAAAATAAAAAAGAATCTATATAGCTAGCAAGTGTCCCGGCCACCCCTTTTTGAATTATCTGGATCCGTCCCTGCCCTAGAATGACCGAACAGATAGAAAATAAGCCAAAATATAGATCTCCTTAAAACTACCCTATCGAGCCGTAAAATGGTTCCTAAAGCAATTTGGAGAAAGTCATCGTTGGGTGCCCCTGAAATGTCATTTACAACTAAAGAACACAGTAAAAAACGACGAGAAGTTAATAAGATCAAGTTAAAACCCTTTAGAATGAACACGGAGGAAGGAGCAAAAAAAAAAACAATTACGAAAATACAGCTAGACAATACAAATTAAAGGAGTCCGAAAATCATTTGGTTTCATTTCGTTCCGTGGTGTGATAACTAACTAAAATAAACTATATAATATAACGAGCCTGCAAAGTAGGCGTATTTTGCTGTACGATCGATTTGGATTTTCGACTGACCAAGAGTTAGGGCGAGTCAAAAAATGATTCCAAGGGAGAGGTTGAAGAGAGTGACTAATTGGCTAACCGCGGGAAAGGAATGTGGTTCGACTCTGAGCAGCCGTTTGTAAAATAAAATGGCTTGCTTTCCCTCCTGGCCACGAAAGCGAGCCATGGTGCGAGACTGACGTGCAAGCCCCTTGTTCCAACTAGTTCCAGTTCTTTATGTGGTTCTCGGTTACTTTTTGAATCGAGTAATGGCGCAAAGCAAACCTGAACTTTATGTTTAAAATAAGTGGTCTTCCCATTGGAATTTTGAATGGAAATTTAGCCAGGTAAGTAATTTTTACATCTACTTTTGAAAGCTGAACTACTTATCAGTCTATGTCATTAAGCAGACGTTTTCAAGACAAATACCTTCTTATCTTTTTAATAATGTCAAGTGCAAAATTTGCTGGTTTCTGTAGTTCATGGCAAGTGTTACTTAATCATCCAAAATCCAAACAGACACCATCGCCAAGACACCAAACTGCCATTTTACAAAAAAAAATGCCAACAGACAAATGTGGCGGCTATACCCAACGACTGTTTTCTGTAAAATATCCGTTCAGAAAAACCAACAATGCCTAGAATTTTCAATGAATCGTTGTAGATGCTTGCTGTACAGGAGAAAAATTGCGATACCAACAGTACTGTGACAAGAGAATGATTTTCAGTACTGGTTTCATTGGTCTTTCAATAGTATTTTAATAGAGAGTACAAACTGTTGAAATGTCAATAGCGAGACGTCAGTCCGAGACTTTAGAGTCACGTTTACGGCAAACGGGCAGATCCAGGTTGAGAATTTCTCAAAATATAAGCTAAAAGAAAATGAGCAGAACTGAAATCTTATTGTGTAGTAATTAATAATGAAGGACGAGAAAGGGTAAACTTGATCACGTCACGTACAAATTCACTTTTGCAGTAAACGTAAATCGGGTCATGCTCGATACAGTCTGTCATACGTAGCTGCGAGGCTTGAGGAAATAAAATCAAAACAAAAACTGAAAGGAAATAACCGTAAGGTCCAAGGATAAGATGACGCATTTCTTAATTATAAAAAATTTATTCCCATAAGCCTCAAAGCCAGGTATGAATTTTATAAATTAAAGTACCGAAGTAGACCTTTTTTAGCTTGTGAGCCTTTTGTTTTCCAATTTCAGACCACGTGATGGAACCCCAGAGAAAACGTTTTTTTTTTTTTCAAATGTCGTCTTATTATGCCAGTTTCAAACATCGTGCTACTGCCGTGCTAAGCTGGCTCGACTGTAGCTCGACCGCAGCTCGACACTAGCACGACTTGGTTAACTTTCAGACGTCGATTTTTAGCTATTTTTATTCAGTCGAATAGAACGGCTGTTGAAGAAAACAAAACACAAAAATAAAGAAACTATTTAGCAAACTTTTAAATGTATTCTAATGTATTCATAATTTATGAAATGAGTTCGGCAGGGTAGTGGAGCGACGTTTGAAACCAAGTCGAGCTACTGCCGTGTAGTACGGCAAAGCTTGCCGTGCTACACGGCAGTAGCACGAGGTTACTCGCCCTGGTTACAAACGTCGCGCTACTGTCGTGCCCAAGTCGAATTTAATTCGATCACTTTAGTTCGGCACGGCAGTAGCACGACGTTTGAAACGGGCCTTATGGGCGTTCATCCACGTGCATATGTATGCATAGTTAAAGAAAAGACAAAACACAAATTCCCCAGGGAAAATCACGTGGTCTTAATTGGGAAAACAAAATATACAAGCTAAAAAAGTCTATTGGCCTATTCACCATTTTCACATTGCCAATAATGCACCTTGGTAAAAAATCCCCAAAGCATGAGCGTTGTTTTCAATTTCCTCTGGGTATTTAAATCGTTCCAAGAGAAATGCAAGACAATTCATATGCACGATTTCAAAATTTGGGGGTTAAACAAGGTGTATTAGCGGTAGTGTGAAAATGGTTTTCATTGTAGCAAAGACTGATACATTGCTGAGATGAGCTTCCTATTTGTGGCTGGATCACTCTTTCTTTTTAACACCATTGAGTTGAGTGTTGCGGGCCAGGGCTCCACTCCGAAAATCAAAGAAATTGTTCTTGGAAGATGCTACGAGTATCAACTGAACACTATTGGTCCAAAAGCAGATAACTGGAAAGACTGTAATGAGATCTGGGAGGCCTTTCATAAAGCCTTTGCTCACAAGAAACCGTGTGAACCAAAATCCAGTGATTACAAGCCGTTCTTTGAAGCAACTGGAATGCAAGAACTTTCAAAGGTTAGAAAAACTGACAAGTGTATTGTTGAAGAAGGGTGGAGCTTCTCTCAGATAATGTATTTTATTACAGGGGAATATAAATTAAACAAACGTCATTTCTGTCAAATTCCTGACTGTGATACTATGTTTTGAGTTAGAAATATTTGTTTCGGAAACTTTAGAAACAATCTAATCAGTTCAGGGACGTTTACACTCGGTTTTTAACTGTATACCGCAATAAGTTACGTATACATTGTGAAAATAATAGCTTCGAAACTCAGAAAGTACGAATAATATGTCAGATTAATGCGCAAGCATGCAGTGTACGGAATGGTGAACAACAAATGACTTAATTATGTAAATGCAACTGTGAAAAAATTACATAATACCTAAGAGACACGACGAACTACATAAAAAATGAAAACCGTCCTGATGATAACAAGAACTTGACTGATAATTTAACAATTAATGAATGAGGCTGAGTATCTTATGAAGAATTATGGAGATCAAGGAGGGTGTTATCCGTCGAGGCCGTAGGCCGAGGCGTATAACACCCTCCGAGATCTCCATAATTCTTTATATGATACGAAAGAAAGAATTCAATAATTGTTTTATTCATCTAATTAACTCCTTATTTCCGAAGAAGATCAGCCTTAAAATGTATCCTTGCCTTTCCTTCAGAGTTTGTTCTGGTCTGGAACATATAAAGTTGCGCATGTCTATTCTGATTCCGGTGATCGATATACAACTCTAGAGGATACCTTGGCCGGGTAAGAATCACTTTCAGTTTACTGTTTCTTTTATTTTAGTGTCACCTGTTTAAAATATAACATTGCAGGACGGCTTGAGGAGTTTTTAGATTGTTAACAGTCCCCTATTTTTGCGTGCAAGATCGTCGAGATCGAGGGCTTGGCATTGTTCTCTTGTCCACCTCCTCGGTACATATGAAACCAAGATGGACGCTCGTACCGGTAAGCACTCGATCCTGACGACCTTACTAAACAATAGGGGACTGTGAGCAGTCTAAGGAGTTTTAGGGGCGCTTATAGTTGGTTATAACGGGAAGGCCAGACCACGATCGATTCGGAAAGAAGATTTCACTACTAAATTGGGTCTGTCCTGCCAGATCAGTCTATTCCTAACAGCATATACACTGCAGTGATTGGTTCGAAGCCAAAACTCTCAAGGAAACCCTATTTTATCTTCAATGATCGGTCCGGAGGACCAGTCTGACTTCTTGTAAACGCAGGCCTGAGTTCAAACTTTCTTCGTTTAGTTAGCTTAATTGGTATAAAGCGCGGCACCGGTATCGCAGAGGTCAAGAGTTCGAATCCCGTACAAGCCCGAATTTTTTTCAGGCTTTCTTTTCGCAACTGCAAAACTTGCGTATATAACTGCGAGATCATCCTTCATTTAATACTTGGAGATCTATTGAGTTCCCTCTGACTGCCTCAAGATCAGTTGATTTGAGAGAGTTAATCTTAGATGAGTCAGACCAACTCATCCTCTAGGTTCACAAGGGGAACGTATAAACTGGAGGATTAGTTAAGAACTTGAGTTCTTCCTAAAAAAAGAGGCCTTTAATTCAATGAAAATACTTTTCAAAACATTTTTTAAGATAAAAACAATTAGAACAATAATAAAATGGACAAGTGAACTCGGTCTTCCATATTTTTAAATTCGTAGAGAAGGGCTTCGTTGCTATTGTAATTATCAATATGCAATTTACTGCTAATTGCAGAACTGTGTTACGTTGTAGATAGGCAAGAATTTCGCAATTATTATTATAAAACCAATTATGTACGTTTTACGTCTAAAACCTCTTGCAGGTATCTGGTGAATGGACTGACTTGGTGTGGAAAGAAAACTGACCCCCCGTCATCCGATGGGATTGACTACGATTCCTGTCCGGATAGGAGTGTATGTGATTATACGACACCTTTCTGGGGCCTCGCGTCAGAGACGGTAAAGCATAATCATGTACTTTTCTCTCAAACTTTTCTCGTATTTTTCTCTCAAACTTTTAAAGTTATCGTTTCCTTAACACTGTGTTTAAAATATGTAGTAATATTTATTAATTTGTTCTTCTGTCCCGCCGAGATTAGCAGTTACTACCTGCGGGTCAGTGTAATTACTTAAGTTAAATTCTTGAAATAAAGTTTTGTTGTTGTTGCATGTCATCGTACAAGTTTTAACGAGTTTTGTATTAAGGTGGCTCGATACAGTTTTTCAGGGTCAACACCTCCCAAGTTTGAGCATACTTATCAAACCCATCTTTCTAGCAATCGGTTGGAGCTATCTAAATTATTTTTTACACACGTTTTTAAAAAGATTGAAACTACTATGAGGTGAAATTGCATGTCAAAAGCTCTTCATTTTTTACAGATAACGGCCAAACAACAATATTGTCCATTTTTTACTGTGTTTCTAACCATAAAAACTTCATCCCAAAATATCTTGATAACGCTCTTACAGATTTCGCTTAAACTTCACGAACATCGAGGCCGCTATTTGAAGAAAAAGCTCCCGTGAACGATTTTGGAAGAACAGTTCCTAGTGCTGAGATATACTGCTGCAAGTAAAATAGGTAATAGCGTCATTTCGTTGCTGTGACAACTCCGATCCCGTTGCAACCCTGATCATAACAAATTTTCATCTTTATCTAAAACAACTGTGGTGGCAATTTTTTCAAAACTTTGTTTATGGCGACGTAGTTTATGCTCAAACTTGGGAGGTATTGTCCTTGGAAAACTGTATCGAGCCACCTTAAAGCTGCTGTACATGCTACATAGACAACATAGGCACGTTAAACGTGCATGAGCTATTTTAAATGCTTCAGTGTAACTTTAATGCTTCAGTGTAACCTTACCAAGAGTGATGAATCTACCTTTTTCGTTCTAAATGTGCACTGGGTTTTTGTGCGAAATTGGGTATTGCCGTACGTAAATGAAAAACGCGAGACGCTCAGCTGCGTCGGTCCTCATCCTATATATATTCACTTTCCTCTGTCTTTCCCTGTTACATTTGGTGCAAGTTAAACAAATTATTAAAGTAAAACACCAAACGTTGATTAGAAGGAAAACTCTAAGGTTCCCTCGGAGTTTCTTAAGCCAAAATGTGACTCATCGAATTCGAGTAGTTAAGAAATACCAGGATTCTTATCATTGGGGTAGATGGCTGCATCATCACAATTCACGAGGTTTTCAGGTGCGATTCTACTCAGTGAAACAGTCCTTAACTCCGACAACTTAGTTCTTCATGTTTTAAAAGCTATTGCTTCTTAAAGGACAAGAGCCTTTTTTAAGGCATTGGTTACAAAACGAAACAGGTCTTCATACGTTCAAGTTACTATTATTATTGTGAAAAGCCAATCTGCATGAGATGTACAGCCACACAACTGGCACGTGAAAGTGTTGGACTTTGACACGGTAATCTAGTAAACAGAATTATAAAAATAACTCATGAACACAATTTGCACTGAAAGATGTTGGCCTTTGGCCCTTGTACAATTCGTACGTAAAAAAAACGCAAATTGTTTACTACAAAGTTTTCTCAACGATTTTAAGAAATCACCGCGGCTTCATTAAACATCTGCAACTAAATTATGTTTCATGCAACGTCAAGGTTGATACCCTAACATTTATTAACTTCCAAGAAAATTATCAAACTGCTGAAATATATTTCTGCTCATATCATGTTACTCCACTCAATAAAACAGTATCTAATTATTGTGTCAACTAACTTCTTCCAATTTTATTCTCTAACGCTACTGTTTTTAGTCAAGTTACTTATCTTTACTAAATAAAATACGTTTCAATAAGTATAATGCTTAGTATGCGGGAAGGATGCATCATGTTGTTCACTTATTACTTTTTTTTGTTTTGCCGGAACGAAAAAGGTCTGTTGAACTTTGTAAGCGAGAGAATAATATTTTTAAAGCTTGTTTACAGGATTAACAATACTCGGTACAGCTTTAAAAAAAATAAGCTGCCTTTCAAACTTGTAAAACCACATTTTATAGGCCGCATACTTTCAAATTAAAGTCCACATCTAAATATCAATTATTGCTTCACTGGAAGAGCTTTGAAAATATATGATCTTTTATACTCTACCTTGAAGCAGGTGAAACACAACTCATAAATACTTGCGTCAGTACCGTTCGCGATATCCGAATTCGGTCAGAAATGTCTTGAAATAGCATCCACGCTAAAATATGAACCCTTACACAGCTGCATCACTGTACACAGCGTTGGAATCATGAAGATATCTAATATAATGTTTCCAAACACCTGTGGCCGTAATAAAAGACAAAAAAATTGTCAAGAATCAAGATGGCGGTCTCAAAGTGCCCTTGTTCGACCTTTAGCAATGTCATGTTTAAGTAGATGCCAAGATCTCATTGGTTCCTAAGCATCAACTCATAGTACCTTTAACCTTATTGGCTCTTGCAAAAAACATCCGAACATACAAAGATATACAAAGCAAGATACAAAGATACAAAGTTACAAAGATACAAAGTCACAAAGATACATACGCTCACACCACTGACATATGAGCTATTTTTTCAGAATAGCTTAACAAGCAGTTACACGCAGTGATATTTGAGTCAATAGACAGCCGCGGATCAAGTAATTTAGTTAATTACGTTAATAAACTAAATACTTATGTTTGTTTTTTAAAGTTTGCAAGACATGCTCGAGGAATTGCTAGAGTACTGCTGAATGGTTCCAGGGTCGATTCAAATGGAAAACCTACTCCTTACAGAAGAGACAGGTAATCGTACCTGCGACCAAGAAATTCTTACAAATCATGTAGTTGACTAAGCTGGGGCCACGGAACTAGAAGGGGAAGGCGCTGCTAGGGAATCTTTTCCCACTTCTACGTTAGGGTGAAAAAAAAGTGAAACAATTTGTTTCATCTGGGTGAGTCCACCAATTTGATTCACCTTCCGAAAAAACCTCATAATTAAAAATCACTGCGAGGCTCAAAATTCTCAACCTTAAAATATTAGGTCATAAAATTGAAACACCCTTGGGCGTTGACAAACACCGACAAATGACATCGAAAAGTTCCGAAAATTCCCTTTGGAAAGACCCACTTTTTATAAACCTCCTCTGAATATAAGCCAATCGAAATGGCCTTAAAATTAAAAAACCACGAGTATGTAGAGGAATTGGTCAGGTTTCTTTGGTCCAAACCTTTTCGCTCTCCTTCCTTTATTTACTTTTACCAAGAGAGGGCTTAAAGGATTAGTTACTTTTTTATAAACAGAATAAAATAAACCGGATAATTACGTTATCTATTTCTAATAATAATATAATAAGTAATTTCGTAATATTATTTTGTAGCTTCTTTGCCAAATACGAGCTGCCAAATCTTCAAGTGGACAAAGTTTCTGAACTCATGATCATAGTGGCTCACACACGCAGTATACCCACTGGTTGTGACACTGACTCTATTGGAATGCTTAAAAAAGACGCCAAAAAAAGGAACATAAAAAAAGTAACCTGCTACGACGACCCAAAGTACGTGGTATCTCAGCTTAATATTAATCTCTAGTTCTCAAAACTATCATCTCACCAGGAGCCTATAACTCGGAGCAAGCAACTTCCATGTACTTGCGTCAAAGTGTTTTCTCTGACTGGTTTATTTTTAGAACGGTTTTGGCGCGAACTTATTAGAACGTCCAATCCTTTGTATTTTAAGTCGCACGAACCAGTCAGCACAAAATTGGACCTTTTATTAAAATATGACTTAAGTTTTCCTTTTTCATTCGTCGCATGTGCTCATTCACGGAGTGGGGCTTCCATTTTCAACCTGAAAAAGTGCTCTACAAGGTATCTAAAAATATACCGGTTTGTTAAAATTCCGTGACATATAGCTAGCGTGGGATTTTCTCCCTCCGGGTTATGTGCTCCTGTCTCATAAGACCTGGGTCATAGTAAGAGCTGATAACCTATGGGCCCCTGGTCTGTATGGAGAATAAAAACGGCGGTTGACGAAATGTCATATGAAGTCGAAAGTCATTAAAATCAATCAGCAAGCGAAGAAACCCGATTCCTGAGTACTGGAGAAAACAGCAACTTTTTGCGGCAAAAGTGTCTAGGAGGCTTCGGGTGATCTCCTCTTATGAATTTAAGGCCATCAAAGTCAACTTGTATCTGTCAAATTATTTGACCGTAATAAATCTTACCGTGAAGTAAGAAAACTTCGGGGTACTTCAAGCTTATCGTGCGCGAAACGATGATTCATCTCAATATTTACAAGGGGTCACCTTCGTCTTGCCATTGTAAATCTCTGCCCCCCGTACAGTTCTACCTCTCATACGTGTATTATAGTATTTTATCTCTGACCAAGAGCCATTAATGTCCCTTTATGGATCTTGCTATAGACCATAAAGCGCAAGCAAATGTCAAGCCTTATATCAATATTTTACCTTTTTGTCTTGCCAGTGACGTGCGCCATATTTTGTGTACGGACACTCCTTTGTCCCGTAAATGCCTCTTTCTCCATTCTGACCCAAGTATGTATCCTCGCTTGCGTTAACTAGGAGATATTAAAAGGTAAGAATGATGACGCAGCTAAATTTCTGTGTCTGGATGGACTTTATCACTAGATGATAAAACGCTGGCATGAGCGAATTTAGTCTGCGTGGCAGGCGCAAAAAGGGGAGGGTGGGGGTGGGGGGATTTGAAAAGCGCGAAAGCTGGGAAAAGGGAAGGGAGAGTACCTTTCCCTCTCCCCTCAATCCCCTTCCCTTTTTCTCTTTCTCCCTTTCCCCTATCCCCTTTCGACGCCTGCTACGCAGGCTAGAGTGAATTATGCAGCTATCCTGGCTGGGAAAACTAAAAAATTAAATAAATAGATCAATACACGGTGGATTCTTTTCATTAAAATAAACTTCCTTTGCAGTCGAAATCTCACCTTTTGTGATTATGGTTTTATTAAGTCTGCAAACTTAGCAACTAAACAATGCAATTTTTAAACACACAGTGCTGGCTGTAAGCACACACACATTTAGATTTTAAAAAAATAAGTACAGTGCAAGTCATTACACCAAAAGAGGCTGCTTGGCTTTAAAGAAAATTCTGTAAAACCTAAGAAGCTAAAGTTTATAGCACGAGGAGCTTTTTAAAAGCTTTTAAATTTAGTCAGGGTAATCTCGTACCCAGACCTCTTCGGCTTCTGGGTGGATTCATTTGCATCAACAATTGGCCATGATCAAAACAACAGCTCTGCAGGTGCATCACGCTTTTTAGTACATTTCTTTGAAGTCCACTGCACGACTACGAAGTTAATGAGTCGTTCATGGAGGACGTAGACATACATCGACAAATTTTCCTTTCTCTTTTTGAACATTGATAAAGTCCTTATTCAACTTCAGGAAAAGTCACCTACATTTGATAAATAGTGGGTCCAAATAGACGCGATAAAGTTAATTTGAAAGGACGCAAACAAGCTTTTTGAGCGACGTTTTCGCTGCCCTCGTCGTCTTCGTATCTATAGCTCCCTAACTTTTGGATTCATCTCCAACATTCGCGTATAGATGTCGTATTTGCCTGCTGGAATTTTTGTTTGTTTTTAAGCCTAAAAACAATAAAAAATTCCAGTGGGCAAATGCGACAGATACGCGTATGTTGCAGATGAATCCACCATAAATTAGTCTCTCGACTAAATGAAATTCTTTTTAATCTTTCAGGTGGCTTCCGTTCTCTCAGTGACGTTTGCAAGCAGAACGATAAATAATCCTTTAAATTAAGTTAAGATTGGATGGGTAACGTAGTAGTAACATAACCTTGGAAATAAAATTAACCCGTTCCTTAAAGACCTTACTGTTTTCTTTTCTTAAACATAAACGTAAACGATGAGACAGCTCACAAGGGCGAGTAATGAAAACAAGAACGCTCTAACAGTGGGCGTCAGTATCGCTTGTTTGGAGATTATATCGAGAAATGAAGAGACCATTAATTCTACACGAAACAGGATTTACTCGTTAAAGGTTTTCTACTTCCTACTTTATCGTTGTCGATAGTTTTTATTTGTTTCTGAATTGATTTAGGACATGTTTACATGGAGATGGCGGACCCTAGGTAGGTGAGGTAACCCGCCTCTCATATAATCTCTCATTTTAATTTGATCACGTTTACATGATAGGTGGGGTGACCCGCCGAGGCGGATTGCCCGGTCTGCCAGACCGGGTAACCCTCTCAGCCGGGGTCATTATTGAAGGTAACATTAGAAAGCCACAACAGCACTGAAGGTTGCAGCGTACAGTTATGTGCCGCCCCAAAGGGTATGTTTTTTTCTTGCGCCGTTTTGGTCTGAAAACAGGCATAGACTTTTCCCAGTTTTGATCTGGAATATAGATATGATTTTCCAGGGAACTACTAGTCTCCCTCGCAGCCGTTTTTAGTATCGTCACGCAACGCCAGCGTTGCGTGACGATACTAGGGAGGGAGGAACAGTGAAGCGTTACCCGGCGCCTCCGACCAAGATCGATTGAAATTTCAATGAGCTAAGCCTTTCAGTACCAACACGGGCTCCCTCTGTTTTATCTCAACCTAAATTTAAACGTTTATTCACCAGACAGCCGTAACTTTTAGAAGGTTGTTCCATAGTCAGAATTAATTTAAAAGTTGAATGGTTAAGAAATCCTGTGTTATATGTTTTTGTTAGCTTTTTTGGACCTGACCATGCACAACGTGCAATAGCATTCCTATAATTTTGAACTTACTGACCAATAGAAACATTGCATTAGTTTATTCAGTCACAATTTATGAACAAAAAACAAAGGATTGTGCACGGTTAGGGAGCTTCCAATATAACCTACAGCACCATTGGTTTCAATTTTGATGTTTGTCGCCTTTAACCAGTCTCCGGCTACTATTATTGTTCTTATTCCAAGCTCAATGTCTCAATTCCAACAATATGGTGCAAAAATAGCCGCATTAGGCAGTGATAAAATCACCAAACACGACAAAATGATGTATATACTAGATGGACCTATCATTTTCAGCTATGGACCTTAATCATGTTGCACGTCGCTTGCGGGGAGGGCTTTACTACTGCGTGCACGTCTAGGAGGAAAACATCTAATCTTCTTTGAAATTGCCATTGATAAGATCTTTGACAAGACAAAAGCGATAGAAAAGAAACGTAAACTGGTGCCGAGCTGCCCGATCAAATATTATTGTATTATGGCCCCCAGGAAGAGACTAAGATGAAAGCACTTGAAGTTGCCTACCGCCAATGAGACTTGCCGAGGAAAGTAACTATTCTTACAGCAATGCGGTTAAAGAATTAAAGTGGATTCGTTTGCTTTTATACGCGTATAGCCGTCGCATTATACATAACAAGAACGAGAAGTCCGAAGACTACAACAAAGCTGATTTAAAACAACGTGTATTGTTTTTTATAACAATATTTCGGCTGGCCATACCAGCCTTCTTCAGGTTTACAGATGCAACTGAACTTATGTAGCAATCACAATATTATATAGATGGAGAATGTCGCAAAAAAAGGGAGAGGCGGAAATGACGTACAACATAAAAACTGGAAAGGAAAAATACTAAAGAATGGATTACAATAATTCGTCACGGCGGATTAGGCCATGAGGTTCAAGAGTCATGGCCTTTTCTATCAAATGCGACTCCCTGGCCTTACGAACTGAGTCACGTGAAGAATGAATTTTCTCTAGTGGGATTAACTGCATGTCAGTATGAGAATGGTTACAGTGAGAGAGAAAGTGTTCAGAAACAGTAGTGGGTTTAGATTATACATACCCGTTTGGATATTTTGTTTGTTTGTTTTTTTTCTTAAAAAAAATAATGCAAATTCCAACAGGCAAGTGTTGCAGATCAGAGAATCCACCCTTAAGCAACGCCCTTCAATCACCTCTTGAAATAACTAACGCCATTGGCCGGGCTATGTCCAAATTAACAAAAAAAATACAAAAAAATTGAAAATGCAAATTCCTATACAATGGATAGTTAATAAGTGGCTCCTAAGAAACAAATTTCACATTCGTTCCTTTTTGCTACTGAGAGGTGCGGTACTTGGCCATAGTCTGCAAGAAAGACGCTGAGATTTCACTCCTCTTGGAAAGGTAAGCTAAGGTTGATAGTTATTAGAATCGAAGTTGTAAAAATCAGCTGACACTATGAATTTTTACATGATCGATCACTTCACTCGAGTATTGAAATGGAATTGCAGTGAACTAAAACGCGGACAGTGGTAACGCAAATTCAAATGAACAAACACTTTTTCCTTTATTTCTGAACCATACATCGTTAACGCTTTCAGAAAATGTTTTTAACGTGAAAAATGAACCTATCCATGGCCCCGTCCAGAAGGATATGATGCAGTTTTAGCCGCCTTCGCGAATTCGTGTGGCCGGGCGGGGCCAAGTTTAAGGAGCTGTGTCATAAAATTTATCAAAGTTCATGTTACGGTAGCAGGGAACTGCCACAAAACTAAAAGGAAAATTATTATAATAAATAACTGTTCAAAACATGAAAAGAAGGTATAAAAAACACACAAGGAGGCACCGATGGACAAACTTGAAGAAGATTGAAACTACGGATTGCAATAAATTGCGGTTTTGCAAACCCTGTTAGCTTAACAAGTTTTCAAAATTTATTTTTGTTTCACTTGAAACGTTTGATATTTTAATGCTTGGGAGACATATCTGTTTGACACGAAGATCTAATTTCGTTAATTCATAAGTAATTTCTCGAGTTAGAGATGGAATAAGCAGGCGTAATTAGGCGGATATATGTAAACAAAATGACTGGAATTCTTAAGACAGCCGAGACAGCAGCCTCTTTGAGTTTATTCTTTCTAACCAGTGCGGGCTTCTACATTAACTTTTTACGCAAACACGCGCTATTTTTGATAGAGCTTTCTGAGAAATTTTCTTTTCGAGCTACGGTTCAGTGGCATGAACTCATTAATCGCCGGTCCCCTTCAGCTCCTTAGCGGGAAACGCTCTTGTTTCTGCCTAACATATTAATTTGATTTACGTGCAGGTTCTAATAGCACGTCACAGTTGATTCTCCCTTTCGTGTCTTAAGCCATTTGTCATAATTTATTGAAGCGCGACTGAAGGATAAGGAATGATCATTCTTAAACAGCAGAGTTCCACCAATGAACTAATCTAATTTTAGCTGACTATGTGATTTGTCTGTTTTTTCTCAGTTATCCTAAAGATGAAGACGATTTGTATTGCAATTTTTGCTATTCTTATAGTGTCTACGACAGCGCGATCTTATCGCAGAGGTAAATATCACATCAGGGGCACCCAACGAGAATATAGTTCAAAACCACTTAAACATAGCATTGTTAAACGTATTTTAGTATTTAAACGGTAGATATAGGCATATTTTTATCCCCTAAAAATTTTTCATCTGTTCGGATTTCCTAGCTGAAAGTCTCGAGATCCGAAAATCATAGGGATCAAACTTACCTTTTCAAAAATTTCAGCCAGAAAAAAGGCTCCCGAAAATTCTAGGGGAGCTTTTTAGGGTAAAAATCCGTTAAAAATGGGCAATTACACCAATTTTTAGATGTTCGAAAATCCTAGGAGAGGTAGGCAAGCAAGAATTTTACAAAAAATGTTCCGAAAATTCTAGATCTCAAATCGTCTTCCGAACAGATATTTTCCGAAAATTGACGTTGGGTGCCCCTGATCACTCGCAATAATAAATGTAAAAGGCACCGATACTAAGTCGATGTCGAAAAAAGAACTTGCAGGGCTCAATCATTGGCCGGGTGTGTGGTAGGCTACTTGGAACCAGCCTTTCACAATGGCTTCTATTGCGTAACACATAAATTGATCGATGAACAAGATCTAAGATGCTGATTATGCCTCTCAACATAGTGGCCTTGCACCTATTTAAAAACTTCTAATATTTCGATAGTGCTTTATTAGCTGTTGCCTTTTGTCTTCATTAGCGTTAAGAATTTTTAAATTCTTAATCTCATTTCCAGACCCCTTGTAATTTTGGAATATCTTAAGATCACTTTTGAAAATGCATGAATAGCATACGAAACGTCAACTCCCAATGTTTATCACCGCTGTTTGTTTTACAAAACCTAGCATAATCATTGGCATAATTTTAGAAATATATCCGAAAATTGCTGGTAGCATATTATGCTTCTTTGGCGAGCACAATCTATCAAAGCCTATTTGAGATCGTGAAAGACGCGAAAAACGCGCGGGGATTGGGAAGAGAGAAGGCGGCGCTGGAAGCGCTGGTCTTGTTTTTCATTTCTGCTATCTAAGGGCGCTTTCCATTTGTCAGAACTGGCCTGCCGGACCAGTCAGTTAGCAAACGAAACGGGCTTTTTCCAGAGGGTCTTCCTGAAAAACCATCTCCTTCGTTCACACTATTTAGGATTTGACTGATCTGGTTGGATAGTTTTGATTAAAAGTGAAATTCTCATCACGACGGGAATGGTCTGGTCGGTCAGTTCTGGCAAATGGCAAGGGCCCTAAGAGCCTGGCACAAGCAAGACGTCAAGACGTTTTGTTTGTTTTCATTCAACATTAATCCTTAAATAACCTACCCTTCCAAATTGGCTGTCCAGCTGGGTCAACGTGGGGATGTCTCTTGCTTAAGAGCCCATATTGGTATAGGGTAATATCACCAAGGGTATTCATTTTTCATTTTAGAGGCAAGCCGTGGTAGGAATGTAGATGATAAACGAAGTTTTTTTGACGACGAGAAAATGTTTACTGACAACGCCTTCGAAGATACTTTGGAAGACGACAGTGATGAATTTGAAGACCCAGGCTGCGACTGGAGCTGTTACGGTAGTTGTAGTGACAATGATTGTAGAGAAGAGTGCTGTAACAAGTGAATGACTTTAACCGATAGGTGGGTTAAAAGATTATTTTATAATAGAAGTTTGGCAAAGATGTGATAAATGCCGGGATGCTACGAATGTGATCATGAGCCTAATGAAAATATTCGAGGCCCAGTTTTTATGAAAAACGTTTTCTCGGGAAAGAGGGTCACCCTTCCGTGCAGCTAAAAAAGTTGGCCTCTTTGCCCGAGCCAAGAGCCGGACAACAGTCTCCCCATGCTCTGATTGTCCTGCCCCTCACTGCTGGACGAGCCTAAGTGTTTAAATAGAGAAACGTTGGTCGGCGAGAAGGGTGATCCTACCATGGAAAATGGGTGGCGGGTTTTCCTCTAGCCGAGCCAACTTATTTGCATTGTTATTGCACTCATCACTTGAATGTTTGCTTTTCATTTTTAGGCCGGTTGGTGACTTGACGACCATTGTTTCAAGGGCAATTAAAACAGCTATAGAATACTGTTATGCATGTCGTGATTGGTCAAAATGTAGAGTAGACTAGTAAATGTGTAGAATAAACTTCAGTGACGTTACTACTGACTTGATATCGTTTTCTCTAATATCATCTAGAGATAACTGAATCGATGGTATTGTAGCAAATCGAGCAAAAAAAAAAGACTTCTAAATTAACAGTAAGAGCCATCATGGCTCTTGTTAACAGCCAGTGTTCAGATTCTGATTTGCCTGTTTGACACCGTGCTTCTGTTATAACACACGGCGCATTCATAGCTTTCAGCTGCTTTGTGTTGTCAGGATTAGTAGCTATGACGGCTCCACTGTTTTGTGAAACGAGTATAAATTATAACACAAAAGCTAAACCAATTTCCATGTTTCCCGTATAGCTGAAAACATTTCAATCAGTATATTTGTAAGTCCCAATGAAGGAAAATATCGATAACCCTAATATCCTTGTCGCAAATCAGTTCTAAAAATTCGAATTTTCGCCGAAAACACAAAAAGTTTAAATTGGTAAAACACAATAAAATAAATGTTAAAATATAAAATTAAAACTTTTGAATAGTCCGGTCCTGCGTTGAAAGCTTTTCTTGTGGGCTGTACCATCCAATGCTTCGCACGAGGAGTTCGAAGTAAATGGACACTGGATTCCATATTTAACCAAAATATACATTTAAAAGCTCTATTACAAAAGAAGATTTTCGGCGAACAACAATATCGGATATGGATACATCAATCTAATGCAGCAAACGTACAATAAAAAGCTGTTTATTTCACACATTCCCCATATTTTATTTCCCGCACAACATCGCTCCCAACTGTTGACCAAAGGCTACTAATGAAATGCGAATATTATTTGGGACACCATCGGTTTGGCTAGCCTGTGTACAGACCCCACTCCTCTCAGTAAAAATCGGAGAAGGGGCTTTCTCTTCTCCGATTTCAACTGAGGGGAGGTCGGGTCTATACACAGGCTACGGTTTGGCCGAATCAACTCTGAATCTCCTCGGGGACCTACGTTTATACTCGACAATACTTGTTTCTGATAGGACGACAGGAGTATTCAGTATCGATTACTTTGCTGCACCATTAAGTTAACCCGAAGTATTTCGAAGATTTCCGAGGAATCCAGAGAAATAAAATCTTTCATGGATAACTCGTACAAATGCTACGACATCTTAGACAAAAGTGATCGCTCGTGAAAGTCGGTTGTAGATACATTCATTTAATGCAATTTCGAGTTTTTACATAAATTCTGCTGTCTTTAGAACTAAAATAAGCACTGTCCTGGGATGGGAGTGGCTCATTTGCACCCTTAGGTTCCTTATACACGTCATAAGTAGCTGGTGCTAAGTAAAAGGAGCGCAAGAAAAAACGTGGTCCTGGAGAGAAACACGCGAGGGTAAGGGGAGCTCTCTCATCCCTGGGGTGTTCCCTGTGCGTCCCGTTTTCTATCGCACCCATCTCTTCCAAGCGCCTGCTACACGGGGCAATAGGTAAAGGTCCTTCTTATAATGCTCTTTATTAGCGTGAAATAAGACAGCACGGCAAAAGCCTCTGGAACCCTGAAATGAGGGGGTTTTGAGACAAAAAATTCCGGAAAAAAATTCTTACACTGAGGGAATATCAAACGGGATTTCAAGGCTGTGAATTATCTAAAAAATACAATTTAAATATCATTTCAGGAGAAGCAGGTTCCTCGGCTAGCCGATTAATCTTCTTCAATTCATACCAGCAAATTCGCCTGTTTCTAATTCCTTTTCTAATCCTTTTTGTTTTCCACTGTCCAGTTCTCAAGGTCACACTGGACTGATACACACGCATCACTTATACAAATTTCTATTGCTTTAAAACACCTGATTACTTTGCTAAGCAACTTGACTTTAGTACAATAATAATATAAATTCGTAACAACTTGTAAAAGCCACCAATTTAAATGCAATAGGCTGGCATTGAGAAAACCCAATAAATCTTTGAAATTACGAATATTCGTCAACGCGTAAGCAATTAGTTACTTTTAAACCGTTACGGACATATCCTCTATTCGACACGAACGCACGCTTCTGTTTGTGATAAAAGTTTTGTCCTTTCACAGTCCTAGATCCCCACACCAGAATTGTCCAATGTAAGGCAAACCAGATTTCGGAATCGGTATGTTGGACTCTGGAATTTCGGGTTACGGAATCCAGGAGTCCACAGCGTGAAATCCAGAATGCAAGAATATCTTGGATTACTTCACATGGAGGCGGAGGTGGGGGTAAACCAGCTACAAAGTCTCGAAGAAAGGGGAAAGGGTTTACTTCGCTACGACTGCGAATATTGTACGCTGTTAGGTATCGCATAAGATAATTTTGTGAAGGACTTTTGTCAGAGGTCCTTCTACAACCCAGTGGTAATCTAACGGCAATGAGTTTCCTTAACCCTTTCACTGCCAAATGTGGCCGCAGGCAAATTCCGACCAAATTTCCAATTTCATTTCCTAAAATTTTGACAAACAAAGAGTATCATGTGAAAGTACAGGCAGAGGGCTTTCATTTGAATGGTCACATCATAGGATTTCGTCCACAACTTCAAAAGTTAGAGTTACCTCACAAAACTCTATCAAACACTCTGGCAGTGAAAGGGTTAAAACTTGTTATTAATTTAATTTAGGAGGGTAGGAGAAATCCCTATGCTCAACGGCAAAATCCAATACGCATGTTTTTCAGCTGTTTTTTTTTTTCACCCTATCCCAGGTTTTTCTGGGAAGATTCGCATTCCGCGCGAATATACTGACAAATTATTGTCGTGGCCAACCCCGCATGATACGACAGTATGGTCACTTGTGTTAAATTAACTGATAATGGTCCATATTACAATAACATGTGTCTATGGAACAGCACTAGCTTGTCGGCTGAAAATACGAACTCTTGAAGAGCTCTGTGTTGCACTGGCTATTACTTCCATCCACCTAAAAACAAAATCAAAACCAACCATGTTAATCGATAAACAAAAAAATGTCAAAAAAAATCACTTTCGCTGATGGTAGGTAAACTATTAAAAACTAACCTGCGATTAGATTCGTGTAAGAGAGAGTAATTGGACAGAGAGGGAAACGCCCAGTTTAGCCATTGGGACATGCGAATTTCACCAAAGTTATGTTTACACCAATTTTAACGCTTTAATTAATCGAAAGTTGTTTTCCGGAGAAGTCCGCAAACTTTAACCTCTAAAAATAACTTAAGTGAAATTCACATATCCCGGCCAAGGCCCTAAGATTCCCAATCTATTCCACTGTACTCTCTGGATTACTGAGAGGGGGGAGCCTTAAACAGTCGACCAGCTTAACCCCTTTATCCTCTCCTCATTAAAAAAGTGTCTGACCGCAGTTAAATCAAGAAAAACAATAATAACGTCACAGGAAAGCGGGGTCAGAATATAAGGAATTTGTATGATGTAAGTGTCTTATTTCTTATCTTCGAACACCCACGAGGAACTAAAAAGAACCTTCCGCCCTCAAAAGCTATGATTTTCTCTGAATAAAAAGGGGGTTTAATGCTGCTGACTTTATAAAAGTTATTTCACGCAAATTTAATATTATGAACCCTCCTCCGCTCACAGCTAACTCCATAAACTTCTGGAAGAATGGGACCAAGCTTTCCAGTGAGATTTCTGGGATTGCTTTTATGGATGGACAATGTAATCAACGATTGGCTAATGGTTCCCTTCTGATACTACACACCAATCATAAACAACGATTGCCCACTCCAACGACCCCGGAAATCGTTGCGCAGGAAGCTTGTACCAATTATTTTCCCTGTAATTAATGAAGCGGTAACTTCCTTTCTAAGCCAAAAGGTTTACTTGACTCATACCTGAAGAAGGTGTATTCGTTTTCTGCTCTGAAGAAATAGATGTGTGTCTTGTACTGGAGCTTGAACACCAGCTCCTTATCAATACCATCAGCCTGTAAAGATAACAGGCAAAAAGTGCTTAAAATATTATTCAATTCGACAACAGCTTAAATTTTTAAATCTTACACTTAAACAGAAGTGAAAGGCCTCAATCGAACTTCAAATTATTATATATAATATGAGGTCAAATCAAGATGGCGATGGTTACGGTCTTAATAAGATCAGACCATGCTTGAGAATACTGGCCAAAACGGCAATTCACAAAAGACAGACTTGTCTTCTTTTGACATGAAAACTAAAATAACGCCCACAACTGTTTGGTTGACCACAGCTGAACTAGACCCAAACAAATTTACTTTCATTTTCTTAAACCTAATTTAACTAGTCACGACTATTAGTGGCAAAAGGTAAAGAAAAAAATTTTACAACCTTAACAAACAAATGGTACGATGCAAAAGACCTCCTAGAGAGGTTTTATTTGAATGGCAACACCAAAGGATTTCGTTCAAAGATGTTATTGTTAGAGGGAAAGGTCACAAAGCCACATCAGTGAGTCATTGCAGCTCCTTTCTAATATCTTTCTACTTTCTTTGAAAAATTAGAAATGTGTTGAGAAGGCGTTGAACGTTGGTTATCTCTTACCTCCACTGGTCTGCCAATAGAATAACCGAGCAGCGGCAAGCTAGCCAGCGGAAACTCGTCCTTAAAAATATAAAAATAATGATAACGATGATGATGATAAAACACTTCTGAGCAGAGGTATTCCCTCTTTATGCTTACAGAATACAAATGAACGGAAAGCCAAAAGATAGTTAATGAGAGCACAACCGACAGCATTTTTCAAAACCTCGCGCCGATTCGTAGGTGTTGCGGCGAGTGTGTTGGATGAAAGATTACTGCCTTTGAGGGTTTCACAAGGACTTTCTCGTTTGCTTCGTCAAACCTTCAGAAATAGATCTACAATTACACATGACTTTTTTCAGTAATTTTAACCGTACTTTTCTTGGCCACATCAGGATGAGAGTGAGCTTCCGGTTAATTCCAAACCAAACAAAGGGAAACAGACAGCATGTCGAATTGTGTGGCTAAACTATGGTAAGATACGGAGACGGCGTTCGGAATAATAATACTAGCATTACTGTCGATGAAACATCAATGTTTGTCTGCTAACTTTCCTCTGTAATACAAACTGTTAGTTATCTGTTGCTCATACCTCGTGCGTCTTGTAAAAGAACAAACAGAAGTTTGTAAAAACAACCCACAACTTCTGCCATCGATTTCCTGTCTTGAATTTCCTAAGCAATTCACCACTCATTTGATTCTGAAAAGATACGTTGAAAGCATCAGTGAGTTTTCCCTGTGGTCACAGCTTCGTTCCCTGAGTATCTCTACTTCTCGTCCCGAGAGACGAGAACATGAGTGAGCCTTGGAACGACATCGCTCTTCTAAATGTGACATATAAATGGCCCTTCTGCATGATTTAAGTCAAACGGGAAAATGTCACTCTTACACCTCGCTTGCAAGTAAAAGTCTTCGTATTTGCGCTCTTTATGCGCGGGTATTCTTGTCAACTGTACTGACTCGGGAACTCACTTCAGTACGCAAAACTTCGCAGCTTTCCAATTTCAAAAGGAGGTTTGGTGGTTAAATTTGTTCATCTGACGTAAACATGCACACGAACGATTTGAAAAAAAAAGAAATAAAACACCAGAAAGCTCAGAAAAAATTTCGAGCTTCGGCTGAAACTCGTATGATTGACAACTGAAAAGTGGCAAAGAGTAACAGCGACTATCTCAAAAGTAACGACTTTTTCCAACGGTCAAAAAAATGGAGCAGCAATAAACTCTCTTCTCATCGACAGTTATCTAATAAGGAAACGTCCTGACACTTCTTTCCTTTCAGCTCAGTGTTGAAAATATTGAATTGCAAATATCCAGAAAAACTTCCGGACATTTGTGCTAATGTTGAAAAAACCAAAAAGACGCGTATACTACGTATACTACGCGTGTATTGGGCTGCAGTAGTCTAATACGTTCCATGCTGAGTTTATAGCTCCTCCAAAACCGGGTATAAAGGATAAAAAAACACTTGTTACGGCTTTCAATGAACGGAAAATTCATGGTCAAAAAGGAGGGAACCTCTCCCCTCAGAAGTCTATTCCACCACTGCAGGGGAAATAGGACACGCAACGCCTTCTGGGAGATCTGTCCGCCATTTTGTCTTTTTTTGACACAGACTCGACTCCTTTTTTTATTGGGCCACAGGTCAACCAACAATTACGCACGGAGCCTGATTTGTGATTATACATAACAAGGATTAGGGTTATAAATCCAAGCTGCCAATACAATACTTACCCTAACTGAAAGAGAGTGTTCTATCATACTAATACTCGTGTTTCTATGCCAACAAACTCTTCGCGTCGACATGGTGTGTGTGTGCGCATGTCTTTTATCCAAACTTGAGACGGGACTTGAACTAACATCCTCATCAGACCCCTCGCCGTTTGTTCTTGCTGTTATTTCCACAGGAGTGGGTAGGGGGAGCACCTTACCAATTGGTCCCGTCTGGGGGTAGGGCGAATCTCCATTTAACAAATTGGCTGAAAACAGAGGTATGTCATCATAACTAAAAAACTCACGTGTATTCCACCAAAGGGTCCATCTAATTTTTTATCAACATTGAAACGGTATCTTTAAACCTGCACACAAGGAAGTTCTACGAGTTATGCTTCTTTTGGCCTAATAGATGTGGGTCACAATGTACTAGCAAAGCTCTAAGCACACTTGTGAAAGGAACCTTTTGAGAGATGTTGATCAACAAATCTGAGTACTGAACAGGTAATAATGCCATGCTGAATGAGCATCGTCTAGCTACGGTTTTCTACGGATCCCCAGTATAATTCCCAAATGACATCAACTAGTCGCGAGATCACATCAGAGTGCAAATAGATACCTTGTTCAAGATCATTATAGCATTCTCCACACACAAATCTTGTTGATCTCATGTTGGGTGTCCTGTACGCCAAATTGGATCGCTTCTGTGAGCAACTTCCACAAAACACCTGCAAATGAACAACCTCCTCAGTTTAAGGACTGCATGGAATAAGCACATGATTGACGTTTTGACCTGGCCCAGGTTGCTCAAACGTCATGGATAGTGCTATCCACCGGATAAATTGCTATTCAGCGGATAAATATCACGAAAACCAATGCGTCATCCACTGGAGAGAGATTTATCCCGTTGGTAGCGTTATCTACCTTTTGAACGACTGGGCCCTGATGTTCAACTCTCGAATCCTTTCAAAAGCAAATAAACGGCAATTTGAAAGAAGACACTGCAGTTACTCTGCGCTTTTCCTTTTACAGCAAAGCTTTAATTAGCAATTAAGGAGTGCAAAATGACACCACTATAACTGCTCAACAAAAATTTTAATTATCACATTACTCTCATGAGAGGCAATTTCAACAGTTTTTAAATCAACGTCTCCGGCAAGAACTGATCAACAGCCTCCGAGGAATTAGAAGTTATATACACTTTAGTTCGTGTGAATGGCTGACCCATCTTGCAAGAAGGTCGAGTAAACTAATACAAAAGTAAAGTAAACCTAAAGCGTTAAAAACTCACCCTGACTTTGGCCAGTTTTACTGCTTTTTTCAGATCCTATTTCAAAATGAGCAGGTACAAGATTAAACATAGTAGACATGAGCGGATACAGTCAAGATGATAACTTCATTATTTAAAAAAAGAAACAAAAGCAGCCATCGCATTGAAACTCAAAACGAGTTTAGACAATTACAATGACTAAGATGGCAAACAGGTAAAGCGAACAATTCAAAAGACTTAGAGGAAATAACTTTTTATCAATGGTGGAATAGGCTATTTTTTGGCCGCGCGTGAGACTGAGTTGTGTTGTCAGGTCGAACTGCATTGTAGGACTGTTTTTAGGGGACAAATTTTAACCAACAATGCATTTCGACAAATTACTGACAGAGTCTCACGTGCCACCTAAGAATGGGCGAATGGCCAACACTTGTTCCTTTTACTAAACCACGTAGGAATTGTCCTGCCTCAGTGCCGAAAGGTAGCCTAAAACCGGGGCAAGCGGAGGAAAAAAATCAGTTACCTTACTTTCTTGGCGCTCAACTATTTTAAACCTTACCTCCATCCATTTGTATTTCTCCTCTTCTGAGCTGGCAGCTAATAGCAGCTCCCTGTCATCTGTGATCACCGCAAACGAATAAAGACCATGCATCTCGGGGCCATCATTATCCAACTGAGAAACAAAAACAAATGATTTACATGCTTATAAGGGGTTGGACCACTTGTTAAACTTTTTAAAACGTTGCCAATGCCAGTTGAAAATCTAATTTTAAACAGCAGCGTTAGTTCTTATAGAGACAAGGAAGGATGAAGGGGACAAAAAAACGTTGATCCAGTGATTCATTGCGGGCTCATATCCACAACCTCCCATTCAGCAGGCAAACAGCATTTCACCGACTAAGCTAACCGGAGGGGGGGTGGGGTAGTGATAAGCCACTATGAAGAGCCACTGTCGACTGGCAAACAATACAGTAACAAATATAAAACGGTTATAGCCACTGCAAACCTTAGTTACTTCGAGCTAATTACATTACCTCTATGGAGTCCAACGATATTTGCCCTCTTATTCTGAACTGGTTTGTTAGCGTTACACCTTTGCATGTGTAAATCAGAATATCTGAAAACTAAGCACAGACAACGTAATTTTCAATTATGTCGAAAGCCCGGGATTGCATTGGTTTTCTGAACTGGTTTGGTTAGAAAACTCGCGCCACCTTCTAAGCCAATCAGATACAAAACTAAAACCAATCGCGACCTGGTTACTCGCGTTTTCCCGCGCTTAAGGCTGGTTACATGCGTTTACTTCGATTTCTCATTGGCTCCCTCTGATATTTTCGTTTGTTCTAATTGGCCGTTGTGATTACTTTGGTTTTGGTTTTACGACACTCAATCGAAAAGCGCTCTAAGATCTA